AGGGTTGTTGTCCTGCCTCCTGGTCACATGTCCAAAAATGTTCAACGTATTCAATTTCATTTTATGTAAATGCTCGTAAATGTGACAAAAAGACTGGGATCTGGCGAACGAGGACACACACATTTCGTTGACAGATAGGCTGAAAGTTCCATTTCAAAACACCCAGCAAATTGAAAGGTTCGCTTTGGGGACTGTCCAGTCCAGTTGCTAATGAAATTGGACACCAACATCGCCGGGCCAGATACAGATACGGCCTACAGATATACAGATACACCAACCCGAAATTATGCAAATCACAGAGACTGCATATGCAAAATGTTTAACCCTTAATTGGCCCATAAGGCAAGCCCACTGCCTCTCACTCACCTATCGCTGACATCGATAGCAATCGTCATATCCCCTACACCAGATACTCCTGCAACAACAGACAGAACGACAAAAGTCGAGGTAACTTTTTCAATTACCCCGAAAAAGCGCTGCAAGCTCACTCTGTGGCCTCTCCAATCTGAATCTGAATCTGCATCTGAAGCCGAATCCGAATCCGAATCCAAATCCGAGTACGAATCTGTATCTGTATCTGGATTCGACTCGCCGCCCCCAGCCACTTTTTGGGTTAGCTCTGTTTTGGCGTTGGCGTGAATTATCTGCGCAAACAGCCAGTGACAGGCGTTGAATTGCCACAGTTGCCTGTATCTGTGAGTGTGCGTGGTGTGTGTGGTGTGGTGTGGTGTGTCCAGTGGCACTTTGTCGCATAATATGTTAATCAGCCACATGTCAGCCGTGCGGGTGGGTTTTCCACCAGCGATATGGGTGGCCTTTCAGGGGGGATTGTGGCGACCCTTACTCCTGGCTTAATTAGAAGTTCAGAGAGGATGGGGTCAGTCAGGAGATTATATTGCTTATTCTTACTTTTGCAGGATATTACAGCAGCTTACCTCAAAGCAAGGCAGGATTTATAAAACTAATTTATATGGTATTATTCTCCAAAAAGCTAGTTCCTGATATTACATTATATTAATCGTTTTTATGACTTAAATTGTAAAAAAGCATGTATTAAACATGACAATGCTGTAAAGCTCGCGGTCACAACAAATTTATCAAGAGAACAACTTCACAACAGATTCGCCAACCGAAAAGCCAAATTTATGATCAATCTGTCGCTTCCATATTCCATATACAGTTATTCTTGACCAGCTCCGGCCTGCTCCATTTAACACAGAGAGGCTGAGGATTCTGGGTCCCTGTTTTGGCAATAAATTGGCATTTAAATTAATTCACCTTGAATTATGTTCTTTGTGCGATAAAAGGGAAACACTCGGCCAGTCGAGCATTCAGCCCCCCCACAGCGTAAATTTCAATCAAAATCGCACATCCGCGAAATTATCATGAACTCAGCGGAGTTGGTCTGCACTCGGAACCCGCAGCCATTCGACTACTCTGAATATACGTGGATCGGGCGAGGAGATTATCAAATTGATTCCAATTAACACTTGCCACCGCTGCAGGGACTGCCAGCCAATGGACATTGGACATTGGACATGGAGTTGCATTCATTCCTGCTCGACTCTGTATGCAAACGTTATAAATATTTCACTCTTTGTCCACGGTTTACGGTTTACGGTTAGCAGGCACAACACTTGGAGACCTGGAGGTACGGTCCCTTAAAATGGGACCCCAACTTTATGGCCAATACCGACTCCTTTCTCCGCCCCAGTCGAAACACGCACATAACTTAAGCGCACTTTGTCGTAATTCGTAATTCGAATTGACAAACGTTTCTTGGCCCCGATCGCCTTTATATGTAGATATGTATGTACACTATACCTGGTGGCTAACTTTTGGCTCACTTCCTTGGGGCCACTGTGAAATGATAAATATTCCATAATTTTGCCTGGCATTCAATTTCGATTTGTGTGACACATAAATTACGAATTAACGCTTTAAGCCCAAAGAGGCGAAGATCAAAACACGGGAAAAGAGCTGAAGGCTTTCTTTAATCAATTTGCTGGCTTGGCACACTTCCTAGAGGTTACGAAATCGGAAAATTGCTGAAAATCCAGAGGGATACGTAGTTAATTTTAGTAGTGCAGCAACTCCAGGGCTTGAAAGTATAAAGAAAAAGCTAAATATTGTATAAACTTCTTGAACGAATACTTATAAACAGAAAAAAGAGCATTAAAGTGTGCATTAATGGTACCTGTTTAGATATACCATTTATTGGAATATAAGTTTTAATATAATGCCGGATATTATTTCCTATCCAAGTGACGCAAGCACCTGCAGATATATGGTTGTGATATCTGACATTTTAAGTGCTATCTTAGCAATCTTAATTACCTTCTACATCTGTAAATCAATCTTCAGAGCCGTTCTCATATCATCATAATCACCTTGTACTCCAAATTTTTTCCAGAAGTAGTACACGCACAAGTCTCTCTCACGTTCTAAGCTACCAACTGACAGGCGGTGCAGCTTAATTAAGTTGAAAATTTATGAAGTTCTTTATCAAGAGAATTTCATTAGCCAGCATCTAGAACCGCACACAAAGTATGGCTAGAGAAAAAACAAAATAATTTCCTTAGAAAAGGATTTCCTCTGAAGAGGCGGCAATTCAACGGAATGGGAGTCAGCAGCTCAGACTTGGGCAGAAAGTTCAAAAGGAGGAAAGGACCCTGCAATGAGGCATGCGAAGAGCAGCGCACAAAAGATGATTAATAATCTCCAGGACGGACTCCAACTCCCAAAAAACTCCACCACGAACCACCACTAGCCGCGGAAAAATCCTGGCCGGGAGTGGGAAAAGACAAATGTCTTGGCTGCGTGGTCTCCTTCACAGTTAATTTAAGTTTCCACGCGAAACGGATGCAGGAGCTTTCTGGAAAAAGAATTTTGCTGATTTTGTCAACTGTTTGTCGCTGATAAAATTATTAGCTCTTCTTTTGTTTCAGCCCCTGTGGAAAAAGCGAAACTGCGTGGTATGGACACTTTTTTTAGCTTGAGCCCAAATTTTTGTATTAAAATGCAAATTTTTTGTTAATTTTGTTGTTTTTTGCTTTAATCAGCGGGTAGCCACAGCCACTGTGGTTGCACTCGGCTGATGATGAATGTTGAACCACGGCGTATGTCAGGAATCCGGGAAACCGGGAATCAGGGTTCCCCGGATCCGGTGGCTTTGCAGCCCCCAAAGCTAAAATTTTTTTTCCTAAATGCTCTTCTAATTTTCTCTGCGGCTGGTTCGTAATTTTCTAATTTGGCGTACTAATAGAGCTTGTAAGGAAAAAAATAAAATGTATCTGAAGAAAATACCAAAGATGTCTTGCATCCATAGGTAAAAGAAATACAAGTAACCAAGTTGATCCGCTGCACAGTTTGTTTTGAGTTCAGGCCATTAGTTAAACTGCTTAGTTAACTGCTTGTGAGCCAAATTTTGATGTGCTCTGCTATTCCGGGCTCCTATCTGAAAGTCATCTGAAGACACCGCATTCAGTTCACAGACGCGAGCGAGAGACATAAACAATTAAACTCATTTGACGATTAATTACGCGCCGCTTCTGAATCGCGTGTGCTGCCACCACAGCCTGCAGCAAAATGGAATAAAAAAGATAGCTCGCGGCAAAATTGTTCTATCAAAACACTGGGGGCTATGGCAAAAACAAAAAAAAAGAAGAAAACCGCAGCGACAAGAACAACACCCACAGCCAAGTACAAATTCATTTGCTGCTAAAGACACCAGAGGAACTTGCATGTCGTGTCATAATCTTGATGAATGCATAATTGCATGCCAAGCTCCCAAGCTCCCAAGCCCTCCCCATTCCCTTCCCATCCACCCAGCGGATCAGCCCCATTCTGCCACGATCGAAATGGGTTTAAATGTCAACCAGCATAAGAAATAGGAACGGACCCGAAACGTAGGCCCATTTCCAAATATTTTCATGTTTTCCAATAACGAACAGAATGCGCATCGCAACTTTTTCTACGACACTGGAAAAGAAAGCTGATATGGATCAAGATTTTACAAATATTAGTTAGAGAAATATATTTCTAATAAGAAAATAATTCTTCTTAATATTCTTTATTTCCGAATAAGCATGGAAAGTAATGAAGCCGCGGAAATCATATTTTTTTAATTGGAACTTATTCCTAATACCTAAAACCTTTTTCTGAGTGCATACATGCAGCATGCAATGCATGAATTATGCGGCAATTAATTAATGAGTAATATCGTAAGCGACCCAAACCAAACCAATGCCCATACAACCACCAAAGGCGACCACCATCATCTTGATGTCGACCCAGTCAAAGGCATCGAGCACTTCAGGGAGAGAGCCATATATTGGTGACCTAAATTATTCAATTCATTTTTATTTATTTTTAATTTTTTGATTTGTTGCAATAACTCCCCGCCCCTTTGTCGCGAGTAACCGAGAGCAAAGGGGTCTGCTTGTTTGTGTAACTATTTATTCTAATTTGACCCGCTTATTGAGGGGCCCGCCCTTCTGCGCCCCACTCACCCCGTTGGCCATTAATTGATGCAGCCGCTTAAATGATGAATCACTTTTTCATTAAAATTTGACTCTGAGTGTGACCCCCATGTGACTGGCTTTGACTTTTATGTGGTTAATAGTTAGCTCTCCTATTGATGGATATTCCGCAATTGTCGCTTGTGGAAATCTAGCCAGATGTCGCTTTGTCTTTCGTTCCTTTATCTACATTTGCAAGTACAATGAACCAGAATCGGTGGCTTCCTCAAACATCAAACTCGTGCTGAACAAGCTGACCCATAAAGAACAGCATAAGACCGATAAAAGAAAAAACGCACGGTAGAAAAGAAAAAGAATGCCGAGAATCAGAAAGCGCTTGAAGATAGCACACCTGCAACTGAGACCGAAACGTGAACGTGGGCGGCGATGTAAAGTGTATTTAAGCTCGGGTGAAGGCCATCAAATGGCAGTTGAACTTTTAGTTTTTTCTATAGAGCAAGTATGCAGTGCGGTCTTAAAATGAGTCTTCCAATTGCAATGCTTTTGTTGATCATTACGGTGGCTGCTTTTGCAGAAGATCCGCCCGTGAATCAAGGAAAGGAATTCGTGGATTTTGAGGATACTGACGATGTGGCCAAGACTGCATCCAAAGGAGTTACTAATGTTCCAATCATCACAGCCACGCCGATTTTAATTGAAGGCTCTTTAAGTACAAGTAAATCTAGCACAGAAGGATTACCAACAACGATTTCCACAACAGGGGCTCCAACAACTACCCACTCTTCAACGTCTGCTACAACAACAACTGATTCCAGCACTGCTCATTCAACCACTAATGAGTCCACCACTGATGATTCCACCACTAATGATTCCACCACTGAAGAATCTAACACAACCGATTCTGCGACCGATTCTTCAACCACAGCTCTAGAAACAACAGATTCCACCACATCTTCAACAACAACGAAATCCACAACTTCTCCATCGACCACTGATTCCACTACAAACGATTCAACTGAAACCACAACTGTTCCGACCACATCTTCTCCAACACCTGGCTCCAATCCAACTTCTTCATCGTCAACTGATTCTACCAAGAGCGATTTTAAGACCAAAGATATTACGGCATCGGCTGATTCCATCACCACATCGCTTGAGAAGTCGAGACTACGATCGAGATTGTCTTTACCAACAAAACATTCCACAACAATTGGTTCAACAACAGATAGCACCTCAACTCCAGTTTCTCCAACCACTGAACAACCAACAGAAGAAGAAAGGATTCTTGCACTTCGGGCTCAAAATTCTGAAGCCCTCGCTCTGTTCAATACCCAGCTTGATGCTGTCAGCAGAATTAACTGGAAAATAGACGCAGAGCTGGACAACCAGGCGGAGTACCTTGCCTCAATTGAAGCCATCGAGAAGCTGCTCCAAATTCAGGCACAGGAGCTTTTGCCGTGGGAAGCGGAACTTCTTCGAGGCGTCGTCACCTCTATTCAGAAGATAGACCTATTTGCCAACCGATCAATCGAAACCGTATCAGAGTTGGTTAGACTCCAAGAGCTGAATCAGGACCGTGTGAGGAACCTCGGGGTCAAACTAAACGTTACGCAAGGACTAATCCTGCGCAGCGCAAAGGGATTGGATGACAGACTCAACTTTGTAAACCAACTTCTTCTTAGATATATCGAGCCTAAAGTGAATAGCTTAAGGGATTCGGTTGCTAGTCTGAACATATCGCAAGTATATTCTGAAATTGAACTGAAGAACGTTCCAGAGGTTAGAAATCTTACGGAAACATCCATCACAAAACTGTCAGCCTTGAAAAGCCAATTGGCTATGTTCAACCAGACCCAAGGGAATAGATTTTACTCCTTGGAAGAATCTATTAAGGCCTGGATCCCCACTAATTTCAATGCGATCCGTGATCTAGCTCACACTTTAAGCATTTCTCAAAAGCGCACCGATTTGGCAATTGCCATTGGCGGATCCCCCGACTCTAATGCCAATAAGGGCATTGAAGATATCAACCAAAGTAGGAAAACTACAAGCCCACAGATCTCAGGTGGCGAGTATGAGGCTTTGGAGTCTTCATGGAAGGTTGTGGCACCAGTAAAAATAAACTAGAGCTACTTGCAACCGGAATCGAATTATGCTTACTGAATGGAACCTGAATAAATTTAAGTTTATTATTACTATTTATCATTTATTACTATATTCATTATTATTACTATACCATTAAATAGAAATTAAAGTCCTTAAAACTGGAGCTATGTATCATTCTTATCTGAAATAAAACATTTTAAAGTTCAATTCTGGGAAAATGCATTCTCTGCTACGGTATTTATGTTCTCGAGCTCAAATTGTTGCTGGCAAATATGCGGACTATTTTGGCTGGCTATCAATTTACAGACAAGGGAACACCGTGAAGCTGCTGAGCGAAACTGATACCATGGATGCATCGAGATGTCGGGGACCCCAGAACGAATCCCAGACCAAACTAAGCCGAGAACTACAAATGTCTTTCAGGAAGGCTGAGAGGATGGCGCGAAACAAAAGTCAAAACAAGCGCAACATGAATGAACCTTTTAACATACTTGTAGTTACTAATTCCAGGTGACAGGCGACACAATGAGTCGAAGTGGATTTTTCATTTGTGGCCATTGTTGGGACCTTACGGGTATCGGGATTCGGAATTGGAGGGCCCGCGGCGGTTGCTGGCCAAGGAGCAGCCCATAAACAGAGGACGCAACAAAGTTGTTACAACAACAGCATCGCCCGGTCACAAAAGTGACCAAAATCAGAGGCTACCAAAGTAGTAACAGATGCTCAATGCGATGCGATCCGATGCGATGCGATGCGATGGGATGCGATGCGAAGGTGTTGCCATTGGCCTTTCGAGGACCCGCAATCGGGAGTCCCGCATATCTCTCTGGGCACACGACATATCCTTTTCCCTTTCGCTTTAACTGCTGGCTGTCTTCCTTTCTTCTTTTCTCGACTTTTTTCTTCTCTTTTTTGGCACAAGTCGGGCAATAAATTATCGGATACAAAATCGAGTCCAGGCCGAAGTCAAAACAAAGGCATAAACACTCGACGGACGACTGAGATGGCAGCAAGGCACGCACTCGACCAATTGACGACACAAAAGACCAAAACAAAACCCAGCATCGGAATCGCATTCGGATTCGGAATTGGATGTGGATGTAGATGTGGATGTGGAATCGGGACCAGTAACAGAACCAGAAGCAAAACAAAACCAATCGAGAGGCTGCCCAGAATGCAGAATGGTCAGAGTGAGCAGAAGAATGCCCAAAAAGCATGGACATAAACACTGACAACATGCTGCGACACGAAATGGCTGAGGGGAGCCCCACATCCATGGGTATGTGGTCCACACTGAGAGAAAGTCTTACTTACTTCCAGGCTAAGAACGTATGCAGGACACTAAGGCAAAAGGAAAATATGAGAAACTCGACAAAACCAAAGAACTCAGTTGAGCATCTAAGGATCGGTTTCTTTCCAAAGTCGCATAAATATATAATATCACTTTAAGCAGTGGAATTTAAAAATGAATAATATACTTGTGCACAGCAATGTCATATTTAATTTAAATGTAATATCCATAAAGTATTTTTATGTAATAAAATTTTATGTCATTTTATGTAATAATTACATCCTTGGATATCCGTATCTCTTATTACTTCGTTTGAAATATCTTGCGGCATATTGTGTAACCTGTAACAAGTATGCATAAATTTTTAGAATTTCTTAAAATGTTGAAAAACATACCTAGTTCCTCCTGAAATTTTTTTAAGTGTGCAGTATGTGCCTGCCTTTGGTTATCGGAAGCAGCAGCAGTAGACGCACCAAATGACAACTTCGAGGGCAAAGTCAATGAGCGCCTTCCTGCTCCCTGTTATCGCCTGCTGTTGCGTTGGCCGGCTACTCCTCCTTCTGTTCCTCCTGCTTCTCCTCATTCCATTTTGCGAGGCTACTCCTGCTGACCGGAGGACAAAAGGATCCCGGCGTGTTGCAAATCAAAACATGGAAACAACGACAGCAAACAAAACTCTGAACAAGCGTCGAAATGCTAAGAAATATTTTCACTCAGCCAGCTGAAACATGCAAACAGCTAAAGTTGTTCAGCTTAGTTTATGGAGCTGCTTGTGTTTGCTGAACGAGTTCCTAAAGTTTCGTTGTGCGGATAGAGAACATTGAATACTTGCGCCTTTAAGATAAATTCCTATCCACTTTTCGTCTGCCCGATAAGACAATCCCATCACGCCATGATTTCACATCGTTACCACTTAATTAAACCCAATTAATCTACAATATAAATTATTAAATTTCATAAAGCAAGCAAAGTTAAATAACTTACACTCAGACTGACGAGCGATTTCGACACCCAAAACCAAGTAACCAGAAACAGAAACAGAAACAGCAACAGCAACAGAAAGGCCGCAAACAGCGGAGGCAGAAGACCAAGACGATGCAGATGATGATTATGAAGCAGAAGAGAGTGGCCCAGAGCTGGAGGATATGGTATATGGGGGAATTTGGGGGCCAGAGGGCTGCCACAGGATTGGTATCAGAATCGGGCCTCGGCAGCTCCATGCTGTGCGCGATTCATGTTTGGTGATTAAAGTAAAGTTCGTAAATTTACAGTTTTCATCAAAGGGGCGACTGTTAGTGGACTGGACTCGGCTTTTCCAACTGCTCTGCTCTGCGAGCAGCCACAGAGTTCGCCCAGAGTTCAGCCCAGGTGACTGTGACGGTGACTCTGTCGATGACTTCGAACCCCGGCACCAACTCCTAATCCAGCCTTCCCAGTACACTCGAAAAAAAGCGTATTACTGAGCAAGTATGTACGGATTTCATAACATAAAAGTTCTTGAACTCCCTTATAATATTTAATATCCTGTCTAAATCATAATAAATCTCTAAATAATATTTCATGTATTTAAGTAATCCAACAAAATAATTAATTAAATATTTATTTGATTTAACATTTTCTGTTTATTACACACACTTTTTGTCACAATTTAACACACTTGTGCATATTTTCTTTCGAGTGCACGCACATATTCGCGAGGCAGACTCCTTTGGCTTTTCCTAAACTGATTTCCAGCAATAAGCATTAGTTGAAAATTGCAATTGTTTTTGTAAAGGGTAGGGAGGGGCTCAGCAGGGGGAGCCGGGGAAGGAGCCACACCGCGGGGGAGTGCCAGTACCCAGTGCCAAAGTTGCAGCCAAGTGCCAGTGCCTGTGCCTGTGCCAGTGCCAGCGATTGCACGATTCCCGGGCCAACAGAGGGATCCCGAGATCCCGAGGAGGTGGTGGCAGAGGCACATCATCAACGTCCCCAGCCACGTCGTCAGTGCAGCAGAAAAGCTGCACAAAAAATCCAATTGTACTTAACGAATTTTTCGTTGCCGTTGTTGTTGCTGCGGCCAGCTTTCTGGGGTCCGGAACGGAGGGCCGTGAATCATATGGACACCATTAAATGGAAAGGTACCAGCAATGGCAATCGCCAACACGCGTCAATTGTGCGCGCTGTGTGAGACCGCAGGAAAATGCTGAAAAGCTGCAAGCCGAGAACCCAGAAAATCTGCGCAGCTATTTTTACCAAAACTTCGATCGGATATGGCCGCGTGTCGTGACACGGGGGAATGCGATAGTGGCTGCATTCAACAGGTCAGCATGGTCCCTAATCGATGGTCGGTTTCACCATGATACCAGTTCATTAAATATTATTATTCATCTATTCATTATCAATTACTCATCCTTATAAATCCAAGCACATGTGCCCCATAATAAGTCCGAGAGTCGTTGAATATTTCGTAAATTTACACGTCGTGCACCTTGTTTTTAATGTGAAGTGAAGACAGCACACGCGATCATCTCTACCACTGATTGCAGCCAGAAATGGACGCGGACTGGGAATCTCTGTTAGCTGGAAATGGGATTCTGGGATTGCGCGACGTGAAAATGACCCTGACTGGTCTGGGGATGTGCGGTGTCAGGGCTTATCAAAAGCTCGAAATGGAACCGCCAGAATCGCCAGAACCGCAACCATTAATAAAGCCTAATAACAACATAAACGCCAATATCTTTTTAACAAATTTGCCCGACTGCTCGCCGAAGATGTCGATAAGTGAACTAAATAACCAGATTAAAGCAGATCGTAATAAATGTAATTTGAATTCGCCGCACTCGGCACATCTGTGCTGCACAACTCAATGGTCCGCATCTGAAGATGCGGAGCAGCATTACTTAATTGCATGGCCGAGGATATCACCAGGCAATCGATCGTCACGGATTACGAGAGGCAAACGTGTAATAGAGCCGGCTTGAATTATGCATTCGAGTGGTTCTGCAAAAAGGGCTTCTTACACCGCGGACAGGTGTTGATTGCTGCCCCGCTGGAGCAACCTGCTCCTTTGCATCTTGCCGATGGCATTGCCATTGGACTCAGAACCTGAGATATCCGAGAAGATGATGTGATGGGCAGCTGAACGTGCGGCAAATTATTGCATTTGCAACGTGAGGCACGAACAGAATTTTGGGACGAACAAGACGCGGCCCGGTCATAATAAGACTGGCCGTATTTATTACCCCATTTAGTTGTGGAGCAGCGATTCCGGGTTCAATTAATGTCTACTTTGTTTGGCTAACAAATTGAACAAACTTGCAGTGGCGGCCACAACATGACTTTATTTTATTTGCTCTCGGTGGCAGCTTGTCGTTGATTATTGCCTTTTGCTGCCGCTTGCTGCTGAAGACAATCAACCGGGCTGCAGTGCAATTTGCCAGGAGAAAAAAATAAATTTGAGTTCAGTTGCCGGGTCAAGCCACTGCCAGCTACTGAATTTAACCGAAAAAATCCACCATTCGCGGGCGAGGGCAAACAAAATCTTTTATTCGGCATCGCTATCTGCATCTGAAGCTAGCACAGGAAACAGAAATTGTTTTGATAACAATCTCCGGAGCAGAAATGCTCCACAGTCAAACAATAACGTGCCAAAAGTTTGCTACTGAATTTTAAATATTAATATCTCAGCCAGATATTCGCTGCATACTACCACTACTTGGCGACATGGATCCGCCCCTCCTGACTTGACTTT